ATTTAAAAATTAGCCAGGTGGTGTGTGCCTGTAGTACTAGCTATTGGGGAAGCTGAGGTGGGAGAATCACTTGATCCTGGGAGTTGCAAGTTACAGTGAGCTATGATCACACCACTGCACTCCAGCCTGGGTGACTGCACGAGACTCTGTCTCAAATAATAATAAATAAATAAATAGAAAATTTAAAAAGACATTCCAGCTCGTAAATGATGGGATAGTAAAATTAGAATATCACCATTTTACCACCCCCAAGAAAATAATAAGCTATGAAATAATTATCCATGGCTGCTAGAATCATAGAAAGAGACAACCATATTATGTGTCTCTTGGTGAAAGTACATAACACCACTTATTAAATACTTTTGCCCAAATAGCAAACCTGAATCACATACAGACTCTAGGCCTAAATAATAAAATATGAGAAATACAAATGACAAAGAAAAATGTTAAGTGTCATTATAAAGAAGCATTTAGTAAAATACAAGCTTTAGAAAACTACAGATAAAGCTGATTTCCGCAATAGATAAATTGAAAGGAAAAAAGGGGGAAACTGTAGATTAAAGGAAACAAGAGGCCAGCTGCAGTGGTTCACGCTTGTAATCCAGCATTTTGGGAGGCTGAGGTGAAAGAACTGTGTGAGCCCAGGAGTTCGAGACCAGCCTGGGCCAGATGGCAAGACTTCATCTCTACAAAAAAGTAAAAATATTAGCCAGTCATGGTGGCCAACACCTGTAGTCCCAGATACTCTGGAGGCTGAGGCAGGAGGATCCCTTAAGCCCAGCAGTTCGAGGCAGCAGTGACCCTTGCTCACATTACTGCACTCCAGCCTGGTCGACAAGGTAAAATCTGTCCCTTATTAAGAAAAAGAGACAGAGAGATACAAGAGACTGGTAGCTATTTCAACCAATTTCAATGTCCTAGCCTTATTTTAATCCTTATTCAAATGAATAAATTATTAATAACAGTTTTAAAAGAAATGAAAAGTAAAATGTGTAAAAATTAAGATGCTGTTTTTATGGGTAAATTCTGTCTCCTCAAAATTCTTATGTTAAAGTCCTAACTCCAATACCTCACAATTTGACTGTATTTGGAAATAGAGCCCTTAAAGTGACTAAGTTAAATAAGGCCACTGGGGTGGGCCCTAATCCAATCTGACTGGTGTCCTCAAAAGAGGAGGAAATTTGGACACACAGAAGAGATCCAGGGGCATGTGTGCACAGAGGGATGACTATGTGAAGAGGCAGTAGCAGGATGGCCATCTGCAAGTCAAGAAGAGAGGCCTCAGGAGAAGCTAAAACTCTGAGAAAATAAATATTTGTTGTTTAAGCTACTCAGTCTGTGATATTTTGTTATGGCAGCCCTAGCAAACTAATACAGATGCTAAAATGATGAACAAGTCCACCATTTAATTAATCTTGAAAAACACATGGGAATACAGAAGTGGATATACTGTGGATCATGGGGCAATAAATTCCAACTCATAAAATGGAGAAAATCAAACCTCCTGATGGGAAGGTGTGTCATAAAAAACTTGAAAAAGCCCCAAAAGAGACTATGAATTTTCTTCTCTTCTCACTTATAAACACTATCTTAGACCTAACCATATGCAAAAGTGTGCATAAATGAGGGCAAGGTTAGGTTGCTGTTTCTCTTGGCCAGTCAACTAGTTCTATTCATACATTTTTTTTCTAGTCAATGAAAGGGACACTTTATTAAGGCTCCAGGGCCATGGGGCCTGGGCAGGAGGCTGCCCTCCGAGGAAGGAAGAGCTTTATTTGACCTTCTTGGGGCACAGGCTGTTGGTGTGGCCACACTTCTTGCGGCAGTTGACAGCACAGGGGTGCAGGCGAGCATAGCACTTGTGGCAGATCATCTTGTTGCAGCTGTATTTCTAGGTGAGCTGGCAGAGGGAAGACTCAGTAATGCCACCTTGCAGGTGCAGAACCAGGTGCATGGTGGACTGTTTTTGGATGTTGTAGTCTGAGAGAGTGCAGCCATCCTCCAGCTGCTTGCCAGCAAATATCAGACACTGCTGGTCAGGTGGGATACCCTCTTTGTCTTGAATTTTGGCTTTGAAATTCTCAGTGGTGTAACTGGGCTCGACCTCAAGGATGATGGTCTTGCCCGTGAGGGTCTCCACAAAGAGCTGCATATCTGCGTCTGCAGCTCAGCCACCTTGTTGAGGAAAAAGAGGATGGCGGATCTATTCATACTTTTATAGCAAGGTCATATACAGACAATTTCACCAACTAGAATATAAAAATATTATTACTAGTGATCTGAGTTATGTGCAACATTGGAATGGATACTAATCATTCCCTTCCACTGACCTCCAAAATTCCATGCCAATTTGCCATTAACTTTCTCTTTCTTCTCATTATAAATTATGCACCTGTTAAAAGACATGACTCTGACAATTCCAAGTTTCAGCTGCCCACTATGTTCCCATCCACTTCACCTTTTAAATGTGTTTAAAGCATTAACAACAGATTGTGTTTCACCCTAGAGACAGCTGGGTTTCAAAGAGAGGAAGAGAGGTAGAATGTTTCATAATCTCACTCTATTGTCCAAGACAAATGTGCTATTGTATTACATGTGAAATGTCATCTTTGAAGTCTGTTAAGGGTGTGCTGTGAAGTGAGCCATCTGGAAAACACAGTGTAGACTGAAAAATAATTATAAGCCAGTTTATTACATTTTTCCAGTTAAGCCTACCATGACAGCTGCTAAAAACACACTATGTAGTATAAAGGATAAAAAGACTCTGAAGTCGCACAAGTTATACCCACCTCCAAACATGATTAGCTAGTATACAAGTCACTCAACTTCTCTGATCCTTTAGGGTTGTCTGTAAAATTGAAATATGGACACATGCCACAGAGGAGTTCTATGAGTGTTAAATGAAACAACAGTTGTAAAGCACTTGGTACAGAGTACACAATAAGTTTGATTTCTCTTCTCTTCTTCTAAATATAGACTATATAATATTCTTTATACAGAGAATATTAGATAAAATCCAATCATATTTGAAAACCAGGTTGAGCAGGTTGGTTTTTCAAAGAAATCCATTGAGCTCCCATAATGTTCTTTCTACTTGATGGGAGAAAAGGGGCTTTGGAAGATCAAGTGTGAAGCTTTAGAATTCTGTCTGGAGCTGGTCAGGACCACCCAGGCATGAGTATAAGCAAAGCGCTGTCCGTGGTGCTAGGAAGCGCGAATGCCCCCGGCAACATTCTCCCTACCCAAGGTTGTTTTGCATTCAGTCAACTTGCTTCGCAAAGCTCACACGTCTGCTTCGTGGAAGATTCTCAGTCATTCTACTTACTCATTGATTCTTTCCCTATCACCATTCTTTATGTCCCCCTCAAAGAAAAACATCATCTTCCCTTTCCTTATCAACTCCAAACAGTTTTCATTTTTCAGAGACATTTACTACCTAAGAAAATGGCTCAGGAATTGGCTCAGACTATCTTGTCCTAACTTTTTTGATAGGTTTCAGAGAAACGCAAAGGTCAAAGCAAAAGCGTAAGAGTAAAAGGTAAAGAAATTAAGAAACCGAAGACTAGGAAATGGTGGTTGGATGGGAAAGAGAAAGAAGTTGTTACTAATGCTACCCGGTTCCCTTCCCTGTCCAGGTTGATTTCAGCTCTGTTGAGGCTCTATCAGTAGATTTTCAGCCCTAACCACCACTTCCATGGGCCCCATTGCCTTTAAAATAAAGAGCTTTTTAAAATTCTACAGGGATTTGGGGTAATGAGGAGTCAGAGCTAAGGTTTCCAAAAAAAAAAAAAAACGTGAAGACTCTCATTTTGCAATAAGCAAGCAATTGCCCTCCTGTTAAGACTTTTTCTTCCTCAGCACTCCGAACCAAAATGATTCTGTAAATAAAAATTGTTCACTTTTAGGAGAGGTCCACTTATGTAGTTCCTCACCAAAGTTTTTAGGCAACAAATCCATAACTTGTGGTTCTCTTCCTATCCAATGTAGCATCCGCTGAAATGTTTTAAATATTTAAAGTAATAAATGTTGATTCAAACTCACCCAGGAAGATTAGAAAGAAAATAAAAGCACTTGGCATTTAAATCTTCAGAAGAGAATTTAATGACAGGTTCAGCCTGTTTAATGACAAGCCCAGCACCACACCCCTCTCTTATGTTTCATTATTACTGCATAAATTTCCTTTATTACTCATGATAAATAAAAATAAAATACTTGACAAAGTGGGTTTAAATAGGTAAGAGTGCAAAGATTTACTGTGCAAATATGATGAAACTGGGATCTCAGATTCTTAAAGCACAATTTTTTTTTTGTCTTGTGTGCTAGGTTGCCACTCTCAATCTCGAACTAGTTTTCTCTCTCTCTCTCTCTCTCTCTCTCTCTCTTTTAAGGGTTGTATCCATAATGCAAACATGGAAAGAATTAAAAAGCACATGCAAAACATGATTCTCGGGATTTTTCTCTATTTTTATGGTTGACAAATTCAAATAGAAAGACACATCCAAGAGAAAACCGCTAAGGTTGACACAAGATATGAAACTTGTGAAGTTCAAGTACTGCCTAGGGATGAATTTAACTTGTATGACAGGTGCAGAGCTGTCGCTCTCAGACATCTTAAGAAAGACAGAGTTATTTTCAATGCCTTTCTCTCGGCCACAAGGGAGCCACTAACGTCTCCACAGTGAAACCAACTGGCATAAGGCTGAAGGAACAGAAATCCTCTGCTCCGCCTACTGGGGATTAGGAGCTGAGGGTAGTGGGTCAACATTCCCAAAATATTAGCCTTGGCTTTACCGGACATCCAGCGAGCAGTCCAGCCGGCATTCCTGGCGGCTCCCTGGCCCAGTCTCTGGCGCATGCGTCTCAGCACCTTTGGGCAGGCTTCCCCTCCCTCGTGACGCGTCGGCCGGGGCCTGGCCTCCCGGCGAGCACAGCGGACAGGGGGCGGAGCCTAAGGGGGTGGGGAGAGGCCGGCCCCTTGGCCCAGCTGAAAACGGAATTCTTTGCCGGCTGGCTCCCCACTCTGCCAGAGCGAGGCGGGGTAGTGAGGACTCCGCGACGCGTCCGCACCCTGCGGCCAGAGCCGCTTTGAGCTCAGCTGCGGCCGCGCTAGGCGCTTTTCCCCAGAAGCAATCCAGGAGCGCCCGCTAGTTCTTGAGCGCCAGGAAAAGCCCGGAGCTAACTACCGGCGGCTCGACCATCGCACGGGGCCCCAAGCCGCAGAAGGACGGCGGGAGGGTAATGAAGCTGAGCCCAGCTCTTCTAGGAAGGAGAGAGTGCGCCGGAGCAGCGTGGGAAAGAAGGGAGGAGTGTCGTTAAGTTTACGGCCAACGGTGGATTATCCGGGCCTCTGCGCGTCTGGGGACTGCGGAATGCGCGAGGAGAACAAGGGCATGCCCAGTGGAGGCGGCAGCGATGAGGGCCTGACCAGCGCCGCGGCGCGGGGACTAGTGGAGAAGGTGCGACAGCTCCTGGAAGCCGGCGCGGATCCCAACGGAGTCAACCGCTTCGGGAGGCGCGCGATCCAGGTAGCTGGGGCCCCAGGGCCTCGCCGGCAGGGGGCGCGCGAACGCGGGGCGCGGCCTCGGCGGGTCGGGGCTGGAATCAAGATCGCCGATGTAGATTTGTATAGCAGTCTCCCTTGGCCGGAGGTGTGCAGCCCAGGCGTAAAACAAGCTTTTATCCAGCAAAAATTCTAAAGAGAGACATTGAAAAATCCACTGTTTAAGCTTTTTTAGTGGTTTTTGTTCTGCCATCTCATCATCAGAGATGCAAGGAATAGATTGAATTGGGGAGAAAAGGCGAAAAGGAAAGGTTATTTAGGGAGGACGATTATCTTGTCTGTTTGCTTTCAACGATAAAGATAAGTAAACTATAAGTTACACATTCTGGATTGGATTTAAGGAATTCTACAAAATCATAGTACATGGAAAAAAATCAGTGTAAACTTTTAAGCTACTATATGAAATCTGTTGTATTGTTTTCTCATGGAGGCTAATTGAATTCAAAGGAATGAGACCGGAATCCTCAGCCACAGCACTTAGTTCCTTTTATGTTAGCAGTGTCTTATGAGTGATGCATAAGAGAAAAAATATATAGTTCTATAGGTTTCTCATTCTTTAATTATCATACTCAGTGCCCAGATTACAAAAATATTCCTGCAGCAACTGTTAGGTCCTTTTTGAATGGCAAAGGATCTTCATAAATAATGCATCCTTATCTTCATCGTTAAAATACACTTATTCAATGTTTACGAATCCTGCTTTAATTAGTACTGATATTTTTAATTTATTTTACAATCTAGGACAATGCTTTTGTACTTTACTGTTGGCTATTGGCCATATTCAGTATTCACCTCACTATCACCCTCCAAAACTAAGCTAATATTAAGGAATCTTGTTAATAGTGTAGATTTTAAAGAAGTGTTCATTTCTTTTGAATTCTTAGAATAGTGGTATAACAAATAAGGGATTTTTAAAGGAGCAAAACTATTGTAAAGTGCTTCTTAAAAACTTAAAATTCTATTAATAATTATAAAAACAAGTTATATATGTAATTCACCATTTTCTGAAATACTAAGAACAGCTATTTTCCCCTCTTTTTTCTATGTAAACTATCCTTACATCACTAGTAGATATAACTTATGGTTTTCAAGAGATGAAATGAACATTTCTAATATTAATGAAACAAGCTGACAAAACATGAGAAGTATACTGCCTTTCAATTAAATGGTATATTTTAAAGTACATAAACCCATAACAAATAACTCAATTTTAGACATTTGTTACCAAAAATTATCTTATAATTAACTTAAAATATGACAGCAAATGTTTTCATAATCTTCATGTTCACAAAGGGCTGCTACAGGATTACTCCTGCAAAACATCATTTTTTTCTAAGTTATGCATCATCCTGATTGCTAACATCCAAGCTCTATTTATTTATTTATTTATTTATTTATTTATTTATTTGAGACGAGGCCTCACTTTGTCAGCCAGGCTGGAGTGCACTGGTGTGATCTCAGCTCACTGCAACCTCTGCTTTCAGGGTGCAAGTGATTCTCCTGCCTCAGCCTCCTGAGTTGCTGGGACTTCAGGCACGCCCCACCATGCCCAGCTTATTTATTTATTTATTTATTGTAGTACAGACGGGATTTCACCATATTGGCCAGGCTGGTCTCGAACTCCTGACCTCAGGTGATCTGCCCACTTTGGCCTCCCAAAGTGCTGGAATTACAAGCATAAGCCACTGTGCCTGGCCCAAGCTCTTTTTATATAGCAAAATATTTACTGTTTAACGTTTTTAAATCTTAGCTATTATAAAATCCTGTAGTATATATAGTTAGTTTTATGTTACATTAAAAATATTACACTCTAAAATAAAAATGATGAACTGTTTATTAAGGAAAAATCATTTATTCTTGTAATTTTATAAGATTTTGCATGATTTAATTTACTTTTCCCTTCTAATCTCCAACTTTGGCTCAAATTATCACAGTACAATCCAGTTATGAGTACAGACACATGACAAACAAAAGCCTTCCACACGGGATTTGCTATGAGAACTAAATAAATTTTAAAAAGAAAGGAATAAAAAAGAAACTTAATTGTTTATTTTCTCCCCTAAACCATTACTCCCAACTTCTAACAAACAGTAGTTGAGTGCCTAATAAACATTTTTGGACCTGGATTATGGAGGAGGGGTCAGGAAGGCAAATAATTTAAAACTTTAAAAGCCAAATAAATTTAACTCTGCCCATAAATCACTTAACAAAATAGATTCCCATGTTCCGATGGAAATCAAGATTTGTTTTTCCACAATGATGATCATCACTTTACCATCAACTTTCTTGTCTCTACACGTTTAGAGAATAAAATGGCATTTAATTTGTACTGAGTGGAGTATAACCTGAAGGTGGGGTGGGAAAGCGGATTGCATCAGCAAATGAAGAAACACCAGACACCAGAGACCTGAACACCTCTGCACTGGGTGAATACTTCACAAATAGGTGTTTCTTTAAATGGCTCCACCTGCCTTGCCCCTGCCGGCATCTCCCATACCTGCCCCCACCCTGGCTCTGACCACTCTGCTCTCTCTGGCAGGTCATGATGATGGGCAGCGCCCGCGTGGCGGAGCTGCTGCTGCTCCACGGCGCAGAGCCCAACTGCGCTGACCCCGCCACTCTCACCCGACCGGTGCATGACGCTGCCCGGGAGGGCTTCCTGGACACGCTGGTGGTGCTGCACCGGGCTGGGGCGCGGCTGGACGTGCGCGATGCCTGGGGTCGTCTGCCCGTGGACCTGGCCGAGGAGCGGGGCCACCGTGACGTTGCAGGGTACCTGCGCGCGGCCACGGGGGACTGACGCCAGGTTCCCCAGCCGCCCGGTTCCCCAGCTGCCCACAACGACTTTATTTTCTTCCCCAATTTCCCACCCCCACCCACCTAATTCGATGAAGGCTGCCAACGGGGAGTGGCGGAAAGCCTGTAAGCCTACAAGCCTGTCTGAGACTCGCAGGAAGGAGGAGCCGACCGGGAATAACCTTCCATACATTTTTTTCTTTGTCCGGATCTGGCCCTCGATACTCACCATGAAGCCAAACACAGAGACGCAGATTTCCAGGGATATTTAGGAGTGTGTGACGTTCCAGAGGTTTTTCTGAGGGAAAGTGCATATGAAATCCTTGACCGGCCCTGGTGGCTACAGAAGAATCTTCCGATGGAATGACTCCAGCGCCGAGCGGGAGAAGGCAGTGATTGGCATTTGGGTGGGGGCAGTCGATGCGTTCACTCCACTGTCTGCTGAGGAGTTAAGGCGAACCCACAAGTTAGGCCCTAGAGGCAAAAAGGAAAACCTGAAGACTGAGGACAAAGTGGACGAGGGCAGAGGTGGGCTTCAGTAAGTGCCCGGCGGCGCTTTAATTTGTGTGCATGGCAAGTAACACGCGAAACGACACTCTCTGGAAGCCCTGGAGACCCGCGCCCAACTCCACCAGATAGCAGAGGGGTAAGAGAGGATGTGCAAGCCACGACAGATCCTAAAATCCCTGGATCACGACGCCGCAGAGCACCTTTGCAGAGGGTGCTGGCCTTTGCTTTAACTACACTGAGAGATTCCCGCGGCGTTCCGGAGGCAGACTCCACAGGATGAGGTGGTGGAATGGAGTGAAAGCAATTTTAACGGTTAACTGTAACGTTTTCTTTCATACACACACACACACACACACACACATATGCTAGGATGCGGAAATCGCCTTGTGACTTGCTGCTTTTTGATTTTGTGATATTTTGTACTTTTTAGTTGTTCAGCAACTGTCTTATTTAATGGGGAGATTTTAAGTAACATTATAACTGGTGGCTCTCAGTTAAAATGTAAGGAAGAACTACAGCTCTTAAATGTAGCAATGGCGCTGTAGCAAACTCAGTGCAAATGCCTAGATTGCTTTCTTCTTAACCTATTTATTTCTTTGTTAAATTTTTCTGATTGTTTCCTTTATAGAGTGTCTCAGGGTGCAGAGGTCAGACTAAGAAATATCCCAAATGTCTTTTAGAAGATAGATGCACGTATGCAGTAAATTGTCTTGGCATATTTCCCAAAAGATTGCTGAAAAAATAGATTGACTATAAAAACTTGAAAATATGTGATGGCTCATGGGATGTCCTACTATTTCCTGAACAATCTAAAGGTGCACTGCTTTGGGATTTAATTTCCAGTGTTGCTTTATCATTATATCATTGGAACTGATACTTCACTGCTTTCATAAAGAATTAACAGAGATTGAACTCCAAGAGGTGGGTAATTTGGTTTAAAAATGTATGTTCATGGATTTACCACTAACTCCTGAGAAATGTTAAAGGTTCACAGGGGTTCCCTTCTCTCAACATTTGTAATAATTGCTCAGAAGCAATACCAGCAATTCATAAAAACTGCTTACATATGCCATAGAAAATTAAACACAAAATTTATACATGTATTATGCTTCTAAATGCTCATTCCACTAGATACACATTTAAAAGATAAAAAAGGAACAGAAAAAAGTAATTGGAGAGTGGAGACTTATAAGAAGGAGTACATCTGAGTTGAACACACAAATCTTTACTTCTCTACCAATTCCTATTCCCAAAGTGAACATATTACTGGGGAAAGTTAGTTGAGAATCAGATCTTATATTATTGGGGAAAGGATATATTTATTGACACATAATCTGTACCAGGTATGCATTAAAATATATTTGTTCATTTAATACATAAACCTGAGAGGTATTGTTTCCCAGATGAGGACAATGAGGCAAAGAAATATCAAATAACTTGCCAAAGATCACAAGATATTCATTCCATGGGTGCACAAAGTAAGTGCATCTAGTTCCAAAGCTGATTATGGTTGTCTTGCTTTTCTTCCCGTTGCACCAGCTTGTCCTCCAAAATCAATAATGATACACATGAAGATAACTTAAAAAAAAAAAAAAAGCAGAAATACACAGTGATCTCCCTTGTAAGTTCCTAAGGAGGCTTTTCTTTCTCTAACTTCTAGTGAATATAAACAGCTTGTTTGAAAACTATTTTAAAATGTCAACAATATGGAGAATACCCCCCAAAAAAAACACCTATAAGAACCCAAATGTTTGGAACAAAGATTATGGAACCTCCATTTTCAAACTGAAGCACAGAGACAGAAAATATATTTCTAGTTATCACTTAAGCACTCAATCATTAGAGGTTACAAGAATAATATTTTTAAAGTGACAGTATTTTACAATTACTAGAAAACATTCTATGTAAAGGAAGTCAGTTGATAATTTAAAATCTGCCGTTTGATTTATAAAATCCCTTAATATGACCTCTATATCTTAAATTCCAAGACGTTTAAATTTGTTAGTTGCATTATACTGGGTCATGAAAAATTATCCCTTGAAATAGATATGAAACATGTTACTTCATTTCTAGTTTAAATAACTTGTGGAATCTTTCCTAATGACAACCTGATATTAAGGGAAACTAAAGAAAATGCTATTGTGGATCCCACAGTACTATATTACACTGCTTTTTAGTTTTGTTAGGTTTTTTTCTTGGGGGGGGGCGGGTACAAACCTAAAACATTATTAGGTCTCAATTACCACATGGTTGTATTGAAATAGTAACTTATCGATGCCATGTAAAAATTAATTCCATATTCGAAGCCACCTGGCAGACAGGTTTAGCTGTTTCATCAGCAGCCTAATATATACTGTTAAATTTGTTAAGGATTTCACTTTGAAGGATACATGCAAAAACATATAGTTACTATTTTCATGAGTCCTGCTTCTGGCTCCATTGTGGAATTACAGAAAATTAAATATACCTGTTAAGTTTGTATCTAAGTCTAAGACATTACCAAGGTTTATACAAATTCTACTGACATTTATTCCAAGAAGATCTGGAAAGTAAAATAAATTTATAAATTTAATAACATTCATTTGGCTTCATTTTTGTCTTTTTCACCTAAGTGGATTAATTTTTTAAAGGGTATTTTGCTATTGAATCAAAATTATGTAAAATTTCCTGTGCCTTAAATGGTTAAAATTAGTAATTTCATAACTAAGGAATGAAACAGTTTCAAGAGGAGAGCTCGAGACTGATAAAACCCCAAATGCCTCTAGGAAAATCTATACTTAGGAATACTTTCATATTTCATTTCCCTAGTATGGCAAACACAATATTGTGTCCAGGGCCAAATAATTTATCGTATGAAGCTAGGTAACTGACCTTCAGCAAATATATGCAAAAACTAATTTCATTTACACTTACATTGAGATTGCCTTCCCTTTTTTGAAAATATTAAAAACACACTGTGTGCATTGATATGTGATAAGTCAGTAGGGTTCTTTTTTTCTTTTTGCTGACTCTATAATTACTCCCTCAATTATTTTAAACAGTGAAAAATATACTCATTTTCTTTTTATGCTTTACCAGAGATGGATTTTTTTAATCATAGGGCATAATTTTTACAATGTTCAATACATTGCCACTCTATCAAAAGTGGAGCAAGTAGAACTAATGATATGCAAAACTTAGAGACGTTATCTGAAGAAGCACTCATGTGAATTCCCTTCTGTGGCAAATGTGAAAGCCAGTATCTTCTAAAGTACAGTGAAGTCTGCCCTCATGTTTTATGTCAGCAACTAATCATAACCAAATTCTGACACGTTTACTAGATTTTCAGTATTAACAGAAACTAGTTATTTGATGAAAACTTGGAAAATAATGCTTAGGTTGGTGTAATTCACGGTGTTCAACTACTAAGCTACAAATAGATACCTAGATACACAATCACATATATATGAAAATAAGACAATTTTAATTTTAGAAATTACTTAAAGGAGCAACAGTTGAGCCTCAACACTTTCAGTATCTTCCTATTCTACTCATAACGACAGGAAAGGAAGAGGGAATGAAGAAAAGTGAAACTAGGACTTGACTGGAAGATAGAAGACCTAGATTCCCACATTGGTTCCTTAACTAATTCAATATATGAGTGCTAACTCATGTAACATCTCTACTACTATCCTTCATACCTGAAAAGTTTCTATAAAACTTTTCTCAATTTCAGCTATCCAAATGAAATTACTCCTTTCTTGCCTCTTAAATTCCCTACTCAGGAGATTTTAATGTCATTCCTTTTATAAGGAAAAAAATACTTCATTTTACAGAAACACAGTAACTTTCAAACATAGGCCCTATTAATTACATAATAAAAGAAAATTTGAACTAATACTAGTGCCACTAATTAATAATATATAACTGGCACGGAGTGTACATTAAGCACATTAATTGTAAATTAATGTGTGGGTCAAAAAGCACCAAGCCTGACTTACTAATTTGCGGTGTGAACTAAATGTAAAACAAAGAGTTTGCTGGAAAAAGAACTAAGAACAATGTATTAAGATGACACGCTGACTACCTCACAGCTATTCATATTACACTAGAAGTTTACAAAGGACCCCAAACACCTACTAATCCACTTCCCACTCAGAAGCCCCTGGCATTAGACTTCCAGTAGGTATAAGGAGTCAGCTCTGGCACAGAAAATATTTTACAACAGAGTTCCACTCAAAACTTTAAGACCAATTACAGTAAATAAACCATGTCTTATTTTTTTATATTTGGCCTCCTCCCCAAATGCATAATCTATCTATCATCTCATTATCAGTGCTCTGTATTATGATGTTGTTGGGGCTACTTCCTCTAAACCCTGTCTTATGTGACCTCTGGGTCTCCATTCCGTTTTAAACAAATTCCCATCTGCCTTCTATCTGTGCACAAATTCTTCTATCCCCTTAGCTAAAAACTTTTAGTCTTGGCTAAAAACTGGGTCTTCCTGATAATTCCATTCCACTTCTTTCTGCACCAGATAGTAGGTACTGAGCTATGGATAACAGAGTAGGAGTCAGGACCAAGAATGAGTTTCTGGTATTTAGGTAGCTCTCAATGTAATCCCAAACCAAATATGTAAGGATAATCCATTGTTCTTCAGTTTTCTCTCCTCTCTTAGTATAAATAAGATACTTGCATTTTTTCTTTCATTAAGCTGCAAGTACTGTTATTATTTGTTATTATATATTTTAGAATATAGTTATAAGCAATAATACATAAACATAAAAGAAGAAACAGTTTATTCTGTTCACAAACCCACAGACAAGTCAGCAGATTTTTGTCAACACAGAGTTTTCTTCTGGAGGGTGACTGTTGGAAAGATGTATATGGCATGGCTCCTCATTCCATCTGAGTTCTGAGTTTCTAAGCTCTATCACTTTTCCTAGGGCACAGAGGTACCCTTTCGCCATTCTCGGAATCTCCTGCCCAAATGCCACCTATAATATTTTCTGAAAAACATTTGATCATCCTCCATTACTTGCTAATCTCTGGACTGCCTTTGATATTTAGATTTATCACAATAAGCCTATTCCAAAATTAGGAGTTTCTAATATGTTTAAATACCACCATAAACAGAAAGATTTAAGGTCGTCCCCTTTCTAGGGAAGCATAACACTTTATTACACATTTGCTCCAAGTGTTTCTTATGTCTGTAAGAATGGTGTTTGCCTCAGTAGTCATTTGAGGGCAACAAGTTTAAAATCCCTTCCATTTGAGAAAATTATTTCTCAACCCTGGCTCCATGTCAGAATCACCCATGGGGATGTTTTAACATTTAGACTTGCTGATCAGCTCCAGGTGTACAAAATTAGAATTTCTAGGTTTGAGCCCCAACATTCCTGTGGTTGTTATTTAATAATTCTTGCTTTATGGTAAACTTTCAAACAGTCCAGAAAGCAAAAAGTGGTAAGCAAAAATCTGAAACTTTCCCACTCTCATTCTTACTACCCAAAGGTAACCACTATTACAAATATTTAATTATCCTTCCAGAAATATAAGTACATATAATTGCAAACATCTCTCCCCCAGCACGTGTATTTGGAAAACATGAATGGGATCATACTATTCTGTCATTTGCTTTCTTTAATTAGCAATAGATCTTTGACAACTTCTGTTGTCAGTGCACATAGATGTACTTCATTATTTTTTATGGCTGCACGGTTTTGTATTTTATGAATGAGCCCTAACAAAAAAATAAATAAATAAATAAAACAGTCTCCTCACAAGCATGTCAATTGTTTTTCTCTTTCTTGCACTTTATTTGCTAATACACACAGCTATAAAGAAACATTTCTGCATACTTATACAAGTTGTCTGTAGCAATTTATATAGGAGTGAAATTGCTTTAGCTGAAGTTACACATCTAAATGTGTCTGTGGGTGTAAAATCTATCCATATATACATATGTATCCATACATAAAATACATATATACATAAGTATGTATATATGTGTATGTGTGTGTACATCTTCCCATACTTACAGATATGTGTGTACGTATGTGTATATAAACATATGTATTATATATGTTTCATATATGAGTTATAGGAATAGAATTGCTGAGTCGAAGGGTGTATATAAGTATATAGATATATACATAAACATATACATATGAACTATATATTATATAGTATGTATGTGTGTATATATTGCCATACATTATTTGTGTGTCTTTACATACTTAAAATAGTGGAATAGCTGAGTCAGAGGGTACAAATATGAACATACAGTTTTGATAGATATTGTAATGCTGCCTTTCAAAACAATTATGCCAAGTTGTAATAGTAAGAGTGATTGTTTCCTGACAACTTTGTCAAAGTAGTCTTTTTTCTTTTTGCCACACTTGTGGTTATATGTCATTGTTTCTGTTTACATTTGTTTATTAATGAGTAAGATTATCTTTTCATTTTTTTTACCATTTGCACATATTCTACTATAAACTATTATATCCTTCGCCCTTTTTAATTCAATTGTTGTTTTACTGGATTATGTATTTACTTATAGAGTCTAGTAATTACTCTTTTAACGTATATGATCAAATAATTGTTTTTTAATCTTGCTTATGGCATCTTTTTTCTTATGACTTTGGGATTTTGACTTTGAGCATGTGCAATGTTAGGAAAGTTTCTCATGAAATTTGGATAATGAAGAGTTACCTAAGGGATAAAGCTAGTGTCCTAGGACATTAAGTTGCGGGAGGAGGAGAACAAGACAAGGGATATTCACTAATATTTTTCTCTCCTATCTCCACCTATGGAATGAATTCACTGATCTAAAACAGCAAATTGTTTACCCTGTTAAAAAAACTCAATTAACTCAGGTTATTAGGCCAATGGAAGAGAACCCCAAAAAGTTCCAATATTCAGTGATTCTGTCTGTGTAACTGACCCACAGATAACTCACTCCCTATCGACCCTGGCCTTTGGGACAACAAAAAGGGCACAAGGCTTGTAGCCCAAAGGCCTGCCTGATGATTCCAGCCCTGGCTCTTTCTGGCTGTGAAGTGTTCAAGATTTGAGCCTTTCTAGGCCTCATTCTTTTCACCTGTAAAACAGGAGTAATAATCCCAATTTTGAAAGGCCACTGTGAGGATAAAATAAGTAATATAAGTGAAAGTGCATGCTCGGTTCTTCATTATTAATTTTTTGAAGAGCACATAGCCAAAACTCACTCCAAATTCCAAAAGGATTTGGAATACCACATACCCATTGTTATGCTAGAGAGTCATCTTCATCATTGTATTTTGCTGAGACTAATATTAAACTTAAAATTCCCCTGCATACTGCAACTGAAAGAGAACAGTTATTGGGCAGCAGCAGTGGCGGAAACTAAGATGGAATTTCAGAGTTCAAATTTTAACATTTACATTTTTTGAACAGAGAGCTTACTATGTAATTATCCTCTTATTCAGATGGCATTCCTCTGAAATAAGCAATTACCCTTATCTCTAGGTCTAGTTCCTGTGGAGAGAAAATGATTATACTTTGAGCTATATGGGTCCAATAAATAAAAACAGATCCCTCAATTTAAATTTGATCCTCAGAAAACTGAGGGTCAGAGAACCCCTCAGGCACGATGGGATAATATGATGGTTAATTTGGTATGTCAACTTGGCTAGGCTGTGGTACGCAGTGTTTTAGTCAAACACCAGTCTAAATATTGCTGTGGAGGTATTTTTTAGATGTGATTAACATTTAAGTCACTGGACTTTAAAAAGCAGATTATTCTCAATAATATGGGTGGTCCTCATCCAAGCAGTTGAAGAGCTTAAGAGAAATGACTGAGGTCCCTCAAGGAAGAAGAAATTCTGCCTCCAGATTGCCTTTGGATTCAAGACTTGCAACATCAAGTCTCCCCTGTGTCTCCAATTTGTCAACCCCCACCATCTTCTGAGATAATTCCTTAAAATAAGTATTTTCTCTCTCTCTCCCTTTCTCCCCCCCCCAACATATGTGTGTAGACATATAATGTATGTATACATAAAATTGTATACACACACAGAGTCATGTGCTGGATAACGATGCTTCAGTCAACCACAGTCACATATTGATGGTGTCCCATAAGATTATAATGGAGGTGAAAAATTCCTACCCCCTAGTGATGTCATAGCTGTCCTAAAGTTGTAGCACAACATACTACCTTTTCTGTGTTTAGGTATGTTTAGATATAAAACTATATTCTGTTACAATTATCTACAGTATTCAGTATAGTAACATGTTGTACAGGTTTGTAGCCTAGGAGCAATAGACCATACCATATAACCTAGATGTATAATAGACTATACCATCCAGGTTTGCATATGATGTTTGCACAACAATGAAATCGCCTAAACATACATGTCTGAGAATGTATCTCTGTTGTTAAGCAACCCCATGACTGTGTGTATATACATATACATATGTGTGGCACGCACACACACACGATTGGTTCTGTTTCTCTGGAGAACTGACTGATATAGATAGCGACTTCAAAAGATGTTTAATAAGTTGCCTTTTCTCCTTCCCCTACCATGCTTCATTGCAACAACTAGTTACATTGTCTAGGCCCAAGAAACTCTTCACCGCCCCCACTCCATTCCTCCAGTATCTTTAAATGACACTATGCTGGCATCCGACATCCTTTTTCTTCCAGGATGAACTAACCCTTTCTAAAGCGCCCTTTGTCTGTAGGACACAAAATCTAATGCCCTCCTACAGAGGCAGAGGCCTGGTGAAGGTGGTGGGAGGAGGGGAATGCTGGGGGCATGGCATAGGTGCACAGGAAGACACATAGAAGGATCTGGTTCCCATGGAGCTGACATTCTACACAACAAAAAAGTAAACAAAGGAAAAAATCACGGTGGTATGAGGGTGCCTGGAAAGGGAAGCATTTCTGAGGATGGGCTACTTCAGAAGAGACCTGAAGGAAAAAGAGCTAATTTGTGAAGAGGGAGAAAGAGCAGTCATACTAGACAGACAGGTGGCATGTGGCCCCAGCACAAAGCACGGTGTTGGGTAAATTCTAAGTGAACTCTACCTACCGGTGAGGTGCATTTGTAAATATCTAGATAGATATTTAGAGTGGCCACGTAAGAGTGATCACTAAATCTCACTTTATCCAAACGGCCCCGTTTTGTCTTGGGTTTGGACAGAGGTCCGGCAGCAAAGTCAAGCGATGGGGCGGGGGATGGGGAAAGAGAAGTCTGCCGCTCCTCTAGGCTACCGCACCGCCTTTAGTGGGTGGCTCCGCCAGTGCAGGCCTCACTTTCCTCCCCTGTAAGGTTGGGGGGCTTGACTTCTGATCTGTAAGGCCCTGTCGGCTCACGCTGTGGTTCCACTTCTTCAACTAGGCCACTAGGCCCAAGCGCATGAACAGGAAGCCACTGAGAAGCTGGCCACATTTCCAGGTTCCGGGAGCTGGGCCTAGTCCCGTATCCTCTGGCACACACCCAGCCACTCAGGCCGCGGGTTTAGGACAGATCCAAGCAGACCGCAGACTCCGGGTCGGGGCACCGGGTCAGCGCGCCGGCCTGAAGGCGGCGTCCTGGGCTCGACTTCCCGCGCGCGGAGAGCCTGCGAGCCCGCGTCGGAGTTCCTGGCCGAGAGCCGAGCCTCGCTTAGACCGCGCTCAGGACCCGGCTCCTCCGCATTCTCGGGCTACCCCTGTGTCCTCGACTCACCCCTCCTTTCTGCCGCTCCTTCCTTTCCTTGCCCTGCTTTTACTGTTCCCAGACAGGACCGCTTTTCCTGTGCCCCGGCTGGAAAGGAAGAAGGGAGACAGACAGTCCAGAAAGGATCGGCGATGTGGAAGAAAAGGGGAGGAGGGGACACGGAGGGGGAGACAGGAGCGAGAGCTTACGCCTAGGAGTCAGGCGGCGGGATCAAGGGGTGTCGGGGTGTCTGGGCGCCTGAAAGAGCGTGGAGGCGGCTGCAGTCAACGGTGGCCAAGACAACCATTCTACGCGAGGACGCGGCGACAGGAGGAGAGCGGCCCGCAGGGGAGGAGAGCGCGGGGGGAAGAGGAAAGAGGAAGAAGCGCTCTGATGCTCTGCGCCTGTCATGAAGGTTAAAACCGAAAATAAAAATGGGCTAGACACAAAGGACTCCGTTCTTGTCCCAGTCCGGCGCCCTCGGCGACGGAGCAGCTGGGAGGGGAAGGGGCGCCCGGACCCAGTTGGGACCCCCGGGTGCGACTCCACCTACCTAGTCCGGCGCCAGGCCGGGCCCGCAGCTCCCGCAGCGCCAGCGCCACGCCGTGTCCAGATGTCGCGTCGGAGGCGTGCAGCGGTTTCGTTTAATTTCGCTTGTTTTCCCAATCTAGAAGAGGAGCGGAGCGGCTTTTAGTTCAAAACTGACATTCAGCCTCCTGATTGGCGGAGAGAGCAATGAGATGACCTCGCTTTCCTTTCTTCCTTTTGCTTTTTTAAACAATCTAGTTCGAAGAATGTAAGACTTTCGACGAGGGGAGCTAGGAATAAAGCAAGGGGAATAGGGGAGCGGGGACGCGAGCAGCACCAGAACCCGCGGGAGCGCGGCTGTTCCTGGTAGGGCCGTGTCAGGTGACGGATGTAGCTAGGGGGCGAGCTGCCTGGAGTTGCGTTCCAGGCGTCCGGCCCCTGGGCCGTCACCGCGGGGCGCCCGCGCTGAGGGTGGGAAGATGGTGGTGGGGGTGGGGGCGCACACAGGGCGGGAAAGTGGCGGTAGGCGGGAGGGAGAGGAACGCGGGCCCCGAGCCGCCCGCGCGCGCGCCTCTCTACCGGCGCCTCCTGCAGCCCTTCCCGCGTGCGCAGGGCTCAGAGCCGTTCCGAGATCTTGGAGGTCCGGGTGGAAGTGGGGGCGGGGGTGGGGGTGGGGGTGGAGGTGGGGGGCGGGCGCGCTCAGGGAAGGCGGGTGCGCGCCTGCAGGGCGGAGATGGGCAGGGGGCGGCGCGTGGGTCCCAGTCTGCAGTTAGGGGGGCAGGAGCGGCGCTGCTCACCTCTGGTGCCAAAGGGCGGCGCAGCGGCTGCCGAGCTCGGCAGTGGAGGCGGCGAGAACATGGTGCGCAGGTTCTTGGTGACCCTCCGGATTCGGCGCGCGTGCGGCCCGCCGCGAGTGAGGGTTTTCGTGGTTCACATCCCGCGGCTCGCGGGGGAGTGGGCAGCGCCAGGGGCGCCCGCCGCTGTGGCCCTCGTGCTGATGCTACTGAGGAGCCAGCGTCTAGGGCAGCAGCCGCATCCTAGAAGACCAGGTAGGAAAGGCCCTCGCAAAGTCCGGGGCGCATTCGACACTTGTTTTGTTTGGTGTGATTTCGTAAACAGATAATTCGTCTCTAGCCTAGGCTAGGAGGAGGAGATAACCGGCGGTGGAGGCTTCTCCATTCGGGTTACAACGACTTAGACATGTGGTTCTCGCAGTACCACTGAACCTGGACCTCCCTTCACACAGCACCCTCAATCGTGTGAAACTGAGGCGAACAGAGCTTCTAAACCCACCTCAGAAGTCAGTGACTCCCGAATATCCTGGGTAGGAATGACTAAGACACACACACACACACACACACACACACACACACACACACACACACAGTAGGAAAGGTGTATTTCAAGCACACTTTCTTTCTCCTTGGGGGGAATTATTGCTAACCATCGAAGTTTTCTGGAGGCGGCCTTTTTTCTCCCCAACCTGCCGGCGGGGTCACCTTCTCCCACCTTCCAGGAGAGTGGAGGACCCGAGAGAGAAGGACCACGCAGGCAGTGACTTCCTGAAATGCTAACAAGGATCGTAGGATCAGTTACTGCTGCGAGGAGCCAGCACTTGCTTCTGGGGGGAGTTTTGCAGCCAACAGGAAAATGGGCTTTCTTTGTGAGTTAGAGGTAGAGGTCCGGCGGCCTGAGTGATTGAAACTGCTCGGGACTTTGCTCGTATGTTTAGCAAACGACAGAAATGCAGAACTGTTCCTGAAAAATCCCAACTGATAATATTTTAGTCATCTCAGACTACAGTTAGCACAGTTTAAAAATGAGGCCTACTTCTTGAAAAACAGAATCGGAGGTAGTTTTGTCCTCACATTGACAAATGTTGACACAGCCGGTGTAATTTCCTATAACCAGGAAAACTGAAAGAATATATATACAGTTAAAATGTGCACAATGCTAATTAAAACTTGTATAATAAGTCTAAAAGTAATTTAATGAGGCTTCGCCAGGAATATATAGCTTCAAAAAGCAAAGGCCAGCGGAGGGGTAATTATTTTTTTACTGCAATGTTAATTGTCTCTTTGACATGGAAATATAAATCTGTTAAAACTATCAGTGTTTAATTTAGTGTCTCACTTTCTATTAGCAAAAATTTATAATCTATAGGATAAAAGCATATTTTACTTTTCATATTATGAAAGTTAATTTTTTTTTAATTTAGTCAAAGGAGCTTATAAAGGATTTCAGGGCCTGTTGCTGGATTTGATTTTAATTCATTTTGAAACATTGAAAGACCCTGGTGGTTGTTTTTTTAACAGTGGTTTAGCCGTATCAGCAAAAATTTAGCCACTGTGATCCATAACTGTTTGAATATAGTTCTTAATATTATTGTCTATATAAAAATATTTATTACTCTAGTTAATATTATTCTATATAAAATCATTTTATTTAAATTATTAATTTGCTTCTGAAAATCTATAGTAACAAAGTAGAACATATCAATGTATATAAATGCCATAAATATGTATTTTTTAGTTTAGGCCTATAAAACATAACACTGTGGTGATTTTAAGTTAGAGAAAATATTTTATAGTATGTTAATGTATATGCATGAAATGCAAAACTATTTAAATGATAGGTTCATTGAAATAAATCATTTTTTGTTATTTAGGTATAAATCAATATTCAGGACATATGTGAAAAGCCCAATCTTCAGGAAGTTTCTGAAAATAGAACACACAGCTTGGATAGAATGTTTGCCTTGAAATATATGCGCTTTTCCAATTTCATATGTAAAAGGATATACATAATATAAAATCTAGCGGTGTTAATTATAATGATACGTAATTATATATTTCACATTAATATATTTTATGCCTATGGTTACATTGATTTGGGAATATATATGGATACTAATTGTGTTAGGATTTATACAATTCCTTGAGAGGCACACATGCTGAAAATTACCCGTATGAATTATTTAATATCATTGCAAATAAGATGTTATTTTAAAATTTTTTTAAGTTTCTGCAAATATGTTTATTACTTTTTATTTTTATATGATTGGAAATATGTATACTAAAATTCCACATTACCAATTTCTTAACCACAGAAACCTGATAAATTGCCTCAGCTGATTTGTTACTTCTACCTTGGTGCATTTACAAAATAGTCATATTTTTATTATGAAGTCAAATAGTAATTTGTTTATAGCTACTTTAGAAGGCTCACATTATTTTTTTCTTTAAGAGCATAGAGTTCTCTCAAGGTAAGCACTGTACAGTTAGTATAAACCATTATTCCCAATGTGTACATGATTCGCACTTCCAAATGAATCATAGCCCTTCTAGAAATTAAAACTTAATATTCATTTTACTACTTTGCGTACTCTTGAATTTTAGAAAGTCTGTTATCATCTTAAGGTAGCAACAACATAGCCTAGTACCATCTATGATGGCTTACAGGTCTGTTATTCCATGTTAGTTCATCACTATCAACTACCATGGTAGAGTTAAGCTAAACCATTTTCCCAACATATGAACAATTCCTGTTAGTAAAGCGATACAAATGGTATCAAAAATATTTTTTATAGCAGGGTTCAACAGTGGACCAAGTGCTTTTACACTTTTTCAAAAATCCTTGGAGAAACAGAGAAAATCTCACTTGCCTTCTGTACTAAAACATTATAGGCCGAACTAAAACTGAAACTTCATAGTGGAACACTGTAGGCCAGGCGTGTCCAATCTTTTACCTTCCCTGAGCCACATAGGAAGAAGAAGAATTGTCTTGGGATACGTATTAAATACACTAACACTAACGATAGCTGATGAGTTTAAAAAAAAAAACAAAAACATGATATTTTAAGAAAGTGTATGAATTTGTGTTGGGCGACATTCAAAACCATCCTGAGCTGCATGTGGCCCTCGGGCCCACAGGTTGGACAAGCTTGCCCTAGCCTTTCCATCTGCTGCAAAGCCCAGCCTGATACAAAAATCAACCTGATAAAAAGTTTTTGTGGTGCTTTATTTTGGCAGTTTAAGTTATATAAACAATGGGTACAGTTTCATTTTCTAAATATAAAATTATTACATTGAATACGAACTTTTAAGACAAATTATCTAAATTCTGATTCTCATATTACTAATATCTTCTCTATTTTTTGCCCAGTGAGATTAATCCACCTCTTAAACACCTCACCGTCAAGAAAAACAATTTTGTATTTTAAAATGAACCCATCCACTTTCATTCAGCTATTTTATATTCAGGCATCATCCTAAGGAAAGAAAGGTTCTGACAAAGATTAATACAGATGGATAAGTAGTAGCAAGAAATAAAAAACTGCATAAAATTCTAGCAATAAAGTGTTAAATTATGGTACAGTTATATTCTGGATCATCAGATATCTGAAGAATATTTCATAGACGGTTAAATGATTGCATTATAAAGTCAGGTTTTTTTTAAAGCAAGATTCAAAACAGTAAACAGTTTCCTCTCTCTCTCTCTCTCTCTCTCTCTCTCTCTCTCTCTCTCTCTCTCCTCTCCCCCCCCCTCCCCCATTAGTTATAATGGTTTCCTCAGGATGAGAGGGGTTGGGAAAATGGTTGGTGATACTTATTTTCTTCGTTTCACTTTTGAGTTTTCCAAAGTGCTATGACCATCACCAGTAAAATATACATTTCCAAAGCCTTTGACACGGTAACAATCCTACACAGTGGATGAACTGAGAACTTCTCTAGCCTTAGGTAGGGAGGGAGGGAGGAAAGACAAGGAAACTGAGTTGTTTAAGTGTCATACACGAGAACGTGGCTTTAAGGTCTGGGAAAACCTGCGAGGCCTGTGACTTCAGACTGTAATGTACGCTATGTCCGTTCACCAAGAAGTTCCATTTTTAAACCCATAAATCCGTAGCTATACCTGTTTCCAAGGTTCCTCGTGTTAGGCCTCTGGTAACAGCACTTGGCGCCCTTCTTGGGATCCCTTCTCTCCGCCCCCACTACCCCACCCTACAAGCACACTCTAGTCCCCTCCAATCAATTTCAGGCAGGTCTCGCTGCCTCCGAGCCACGCTGGGGATGCAAGGGCCCTGGACCCCAAAGAGCGACCGACGACAAGAGATGAGATGCACGCTGCTCCTCCATTCCTCAGCCCCCACCATCCTCCTCCTCGATCCTAACTTCCCCACTCTCTCAATTCCTAGAGACGCTGCGGATCCCAGAGGTTTAACTGGCAGCTGGAGCGAGGTCCTCCATCAAGAATTTAGACGCTTGGTCCAATTATCACTCCACCGCGCGCACTTTCCACAGGAGCGATGTGATCCGCTATCATAACTGCAGACCTGGGGTTCCACGTGGAGGACGATTGGGATTTCACTAGCCGGAGTGGGGGTTGGAGCAGACAGAGTCTGAGTGGGCTTAGTGGACGAAAGGCAAGACATGACAGAAGGCAACTCTGGGTCACCTCTCCAGCTTGGAACTGGCTAGGCCTTGTTTTGGAGGGGATGGGTAGATGAGAAGTGAGTCAGGGTTACTCGGAGAAACCACGGGGAAAGTGCGCTTCGAGACTCCACAGCCATTTCGTTCCCTTACATGCCAGATGGAGACCCAAGAGTGTTGAAAGGCCTCGCCTTCCCTCAGTTTCTCCATCTGGTGGTGCAGGATGGTATAGAGAGTGGCCCGTAGTATTTTTCCAGTGATGATGTCTGTCCATTGTTTTCTTCTTGTATTGCAGCTTTCCCCATGTTTGAAAATTTTCTTTTCAAATGAAATCATTGATTAGAATAAAAAAACGACAGTAGCTATTAAAACAAGATCAATTTCCATGACAGTAAACCAACCGATGGAAAAAACCTTAGGAATTAATAAATGAAGGATTTGTTTGGTAGATGATAAAAGGTCCTTTTAAAGGGTCTGACCCTTCCTGGAAAATACCCACCAACTTGGGACCTCAACAGATTCACCATATCCTAATTCATGCTATTTTAATGTGTATTCAGCAAACCCACATGTGTTTACAATTGTCGAAGCTACCAAATGTCAATAGCGTTTTTTTTCTATTTGTTGAACGTGAATCTCATGTACGAAGCCATCTAAACAGAAGAAATTACAGGAATGATTTTAAATACAAAAAACCAGTAGTATTGCTAGAGGAGAATTAATCAAGGACGGCATTATGAAGAAAGTGAGGGAGAATTTTCAAAGGGCAGAAAGATAGGGCTTGGTGGACCAAGGAAGGTTTCCATCTAAAAGGAATGGCAAATCCTTAGAGTCCCTGAACCCACTGAGTCTTGGACTGTTTAACTAATATTTGTAGTTCCAGATATAGCACAGTGCATTGTACATAGTGGTATTTTTTTAAAAATATATAATGCCTCGTAGATTTTTTTTTAACTTTTATTTTAGAAAGAGGGGGCACATGTGTAGGTTAATTACAAAGGTATATTGCACCATGCTGAGGTTTTGAGTACGACTGAATCTGTCACTCAAGTAGTGAGCACAGTACCCAGTAGGTAGTATTTCAGCCCTGGCTCCTTCCCTTTCTCCTCCATCTGGTAGTCCCCAATGTCTGTTGTTCTCATCTTTATGTCCAATTAGCATTTGCTTTTTAAAAAGGGTGGTTGAAGAAATTCTGAGTGCTTGTCAGTGTCTCTCAGTGCATTTATTTAATTAATGAGCCCTGGAATGATGGTTGCATTTTGGCAGAACTATACAATCAAAAAGAAGTAATAAAAGGAAAAAAAAAAGTGAAAGCCATCAACTACAAGACTGAAATTCCCAAAGCATCAGAGATCCTTTCAAAAAATAGTACGTTGATTTTTATTTTTTATGACATATTGATTGGCTTTGTTCATGAAAATATAAACATGTTATCACAAAGGACTTTTTAATTCTTCTTCAACTATTTCTTAGTTTTCTCTTTCACCTTCAAAATAAAATATCATAAATTATTTAAATAGTTGTGAAGGCAGTAGGATTTTTTTAAGAGAGAAAGGTTTTATAGAGGTTCAGAATTATATGAACAAAGACATGTAATCTCTTAATCAAATTGAAACTAATAAAATCGTACAATAGAGGTAATGTAAATTGAAAAAGTCTTTGCTTTCTTAATTGAATAATGTGAGTAACTAGAAATTTTAAAAATATGGCAAAGGTTAACAACAGCATTATTACCTGGGCTGCCTTTAAAAATACGTATTTCTGGGGTTCACTTTCAGAAAATTTGATTCAAATTTGCTGTGGGTCCCATAAGTCTGCATTTTAAATAAACACTTAAAGGAGATACTATTACAAGTGGCCCATTGGGACACAATTTGATGAATATGACCAATTTTACTTTTTTAACCTTATTTCTGCTTAT